TTCCTCGATTATCAAATGACACTTCATCCTGAAACACAAGGTTATGGTGGCACCAGCCGATGTTGCTCAGTTCCTCACCGAATCGGAAGATGTCTTGCTCGTTAATCTCCATTGCCCGTCTCTCCAGTACTTTTCACGTTAGCCACACTCATCGATGATGCACCACACAGATGCCCTTGACATCTCAAAGAGATGCACACGCTTAAAAAGCAGCTTGTGCTTCATCTAAGGATGCCAGCGGTCGATCAGCGTAGAACATTGTCTGTGAGCAGCAGTAAATTTAGCTGTGACAGGCGTTGACATGTACCGGTGTCACCGTAGACTTTGATCCAGTTTCTGATCGTTTTCTTGGATTTTTTGTTCACCTTCGCAAGACTTTGCTTTTTGTACCCAAGACAATAAAAGCCGTACAGGCAATTGTAAACGGTATTGGGGTATGGCTGCGGTTCGTCACAGCTTCCTCCATCTTACTTCGTAAGAAAAACGCTAGATCAGCATAACAGCTGTCAATGTAAGCTGCTAAAGCGACGATGAGCTACTATCAAAGTCCACGTACTTTCAGAGAGTGTCGAAGTAGCTGTACTAAGCTGCTTTTCTTGCCCTTCCTCTCTAGCTAGGAGTCAACAACACACAAAACTTCAATGAGTCGCTAGTTACTCCAGCAAAAGGGATATCTACTTCATAATATCATAAATTGGCAAGTATGCAATAGTCGCCTTGAATACCTTACGTGATAGATTTGTCAGAAAGAGTATGATACCGCTAAACCAGTGACTACAAAAGGTGGATGATGATACATCAACAAAATAGCTTGGGGATGACAGCTAAATCACTCAGTTCTAAGAGCACTGGTTTGGAGAAGCAATAAAGCGTGCTAGTAGCTTACGAAGAAATCCCAGATAGAAGTCAGGTAGTTCCTTAACCCCTCTAGCCCCGCGTTTTCGGGCGGAAATTACCCTGTATTCTACAGGGTAAGAAAATGACTTGGGTTTATTATTTGCGGAGTTTTTCCAAGCTCACAATCTCTGTCAGTTATCTACTATGTGCAGTACAGGGTAAGAGTTAAAATGGTGGTTCTAACATATGGCACTATATCCTGTATCGCACAAATCGGCTACAGGGAAAATTTCTAAATATCAACAAAAACCATCACTCACAAAGAGTTTGCATTCATTCCATATTTGATTATTCATAGGATTGATTAAATCACTGCTGTCTGTACTACTTCACAAATATTCTCTGCAGAACGTCCTGCATTCGTAGCGCTCGCTGTGCTTCGTGAATTTCCCGACCCTACGCTGGAACCGTCATCGCAGCAACTGTCACCTTCCAGCTCGTCGTCTATACGTTGCGCACCTGCTCTAGTAGGAGCACGCAGCCGAATAGCCTTGAGACCGGAAGGAATTGTCGCTCCTCCCCGCCATAGATCGTGCCATATCTGGCTGCAGGTGGCCGAGTTTGTAGGTCCACTAGGATCATGTTGCCGCACCTTTTGGCATAGATACATCTTCCCTCTTCCAACGGCGGTATTGTCATCCACGCTCCGCATCCTCACTTCAGAGCACTCCACACAGTAAAACGTGGTTTCCCACGGGTTCTTGCCCGGACGCAGCAACGAGCACACTTTGCAGCCGTATTGACGGCGCTTCTGTGAGTAGGTCCCGTCCTTTCCACGTGTTGTGCGAAATACGCTCACTTGTTTAGTCGTGTGTTGTGCTGGTAGCGTGTAGCGCGGAGCTGACGAGCGGGAAACCGGAGTGTCTGTCAATGCTTCAGCTGACAAGTCTCCTGCAAAGTCAGCCGGTCCAATGCTGAGTAGTGCAGTCTGCATCAGCCGCTGAAACTCAGCATGTGTCGGAGGTGCTTTACCGGGAGCAAGATTGCCTTGAATACGTCGATAGATGATGTATGCGTTGGTAAGCGCCATGTCAACTAACCCAAGAAAGATTGTGTGGTAATATTTCTTCATTTTCATCGCTCTCTGTAGTATAGGAAAACATTCGACCGTTAGTTTATATTGTCATGTATAATACAGGATAAGAAAAGAGCAAGTAATACCTGAATCGAGTATCTTTGCAAGCGCAGTTGGTCATGAATATCTGCTCCTCCCATGCCATCTTGATAGTCTTTCACGAGTTGAGGAGCTGGCACGTCAACTACTTCAGCACCTGCGCGTCTTGACAGGGTTGTCGGTCGGGTACTACACCCCGTAGCAATGAAGTGTACAGGACGGTTGTCCATCCATGACACTGCAATCAAATTCAGCTCAGTCTTGGACTGTGCAATCCGGTATACCCCTCTCGCCATCAACTTTGGTCGTTTAGCTTGCTTGTACGGAATGTCTTTACAGTAGCCTCGCCGATTCGTTTGAATGGTGCCGACATGGTAGAGTCCACGTTGTAGAAGGATAGACGACAGCAGCACACTTGAGTAGAAACGGTCGGTGATAATCAGACGCTTCCTTGGTAGTCCTTCCAGCACCTCTTCAACATTACGGATCACAGCGTTGGGGCCTTGGTTCAGGTCCGCACAGTCACTGTTGAGCTTTCCTTGGTATATCTCAGCCCTATACAGAATAAGACACAAGCATAATTACTTAGTACCTGGATAATACAATGTTCTGTAGACTAAGTGATCCATTACCTGTAGCAGTACCCGCTCTCTGCAGCGGGTACTGCTACAGAAAGTGGATTTCCAAGGGGCAAGTCAGAAGGACCTTTAGTACGCCCAGGGGGAAGGGTTCCTCGAACAACTGCCGGAAGGGGATGAACCTTGCTAGTCATCCGGCATGAGACGTTCGTCGAAGGCGATTCGAGCCCCTAATGTCATCACCAGCCTGCACAGTATGCGTTGATCGGATACCGCCGAAGGCGTGAATACTTCCACCGTCTGAATATTTGGAATCAGCAGGAATAACTCGTTGACGGCTCAACTGCTACAAATCGACCGATCTCGTCAAATCGGGTTACGGGACATGTATCGCCCAAATGTGCCTTTAGGAACCGCGCCTTGTACATCCACCGCCCAATGCTTCGACAGCTTCTCACGGTGCGGGCAAAGGGTTCGGGCACACAGTAAACCAATGAAATGTACCAGCTCATGCGCTTGTATTGGCTTGAACGATCGTTGCTCAGCCTGGACTTGCTGTACAGTTTTCATCTTGTACTCAGGTCGCCTCAGCTTGAGCTGTCGCTGTCGTGCCATTATTTCGTCCGCTGCCTGCGTTCGATACTGAAGCTGGTACCGATTTGATTCCGTAGCGATAGACATCCACATCGATTTAGGCAGGAACAGGAAAAACAGTCCTTCCAAGTTACTCCCCAGTGCAGTAGCCAACTCCGTAGGTGTGGCGGAGCAGCGTGTAAGCTCTGCCGATGGCAGCTGAAGGGAAGCGCCTACATAGCAACGATATATGGGTATTAGTGTCGAGTACAGGATAGCCGAAGCAAAGGACACTCGTTATCCTGTATAGTACACGAAAGCACTCACATGAATCTTCGAAGTAGGTCGTCCAGCCTGTTTTCGCGTGCTCGCTCAGCTGGTCCTTGTTCATCTGGTCGAATGGAGTTCCCGCTGAGAGATCGACTGCATCTTCCTCATCGCTGGTGTTTTCTTCCTCTTCACCAGCAGAAGTTTCACTTGTACCTTCAATGTCGGACTCATCGCCTTCATCGACTTGGAAGTCGTCCTCGTCACCAGAGCTTAAACGGTCATCACCAACAGATATGTCCACTTCTGCTGCGCGAACAGTACACGACCGTAGTGGACGTAGTGACGGTATAGGAGACGCAGCGACCTCTTTACGCGCACGTTTCTTTCTTGGCGTCTGGCCCTTAGCAGGAGCTTGGGCGGGGGACTTAGCCGGCGACTTGGCTGGCGTATTGGTGGGTGACTTGGCAGATGTCTTTTCAGCTGACTTTGTAGTCGTCTTCCGAGGTGACCTGGCAGGTGCTTTGGCAGGTGTCTTCGCAGGCGACTGGGCAGGCGTTTTCGCAGGCGACTGGGCAGGCGTCCTCGCAGACGACTTGGCAGGTGTTGTCGCAGGCGACTTGACAGGCGTCTTCGCAGGCGACTGGGCAGGCGGAATCACGGGAGAGTTGACTGGCGGCTCGGGGGCACCCAGTGGAATTGATAGAGGGGAGCTCGTAGTGGCGTGTCGTTTGGCAGGCGGCATGTCATCGATAACTGTGTAATGAGTTAATAACAATATAACAAAATCAAAATGAGCCGATTCGTACCATCAACTGGCACGTGTTGCCATACTTCGTCAGCTCCGTCGAAATAGTCGACAAGGTGTGTTGCGTTTGGCCTTTTCTTCCATCCATCAGGTGTAAAGTAGCGATTCTCGGTAGCTAGCCCCTTTGGTCGCTCAAATTGCCACCCTAGCTTCTTGAGTCTGGTCCACAGTTGTCCCCATGTAAGTCGCCGAACTCTTCGCTTCTGCATGGTGCTACCTCCCCCTGGTCTAAATCGTGAATGGCGCGAAAATTGGCGCGCTCTCTAAATCTCTAAAAATTTCTGGCCACGAATTATTAGCCCGAGGTTAGCTACATCACTGTCAAACTTTATATTTGGCAGCATCACTTGAAGTTTGTATAGTTGTACTTGAATTAAGTATGAGCCCGATTTGCCAATAACCTTATCCTGTAGAATACAGGATACGAAACTTTTTATCCTGTAGAATACAGGAAGCGGGGCTAAAGGGGTTAAGGTAGTGTCTTGTGCGTGAAGAGAACGATACGATCTCCTTATATCGTATGGACTGGTGGGCGCTGCGTCGACAACGGCTCTGGTGCGGATAGGAGTTGAGCGGCAACTTGCCGCTCGTGTCGCTAGCAACAAATAATATTAAATATATATCAAACACATATTATGTGTTTGATGCGAAGTATCTTTGTTTTGACTAACGTTAATAAGAGTAAGTGGCTCATTTCGTGCCTAAATCGGCAAATTTGGGTGAGAACCACAAAACCTATTTTACATTCTAAGGAACCTATACTGATGAAGTTACAAAAACGACGGCGTCACTCGCGAAAAAATGTCTGCCACGAACCAAGTGACGCGAACAACGATCCAGGTGCGTCGTGTCCGGCTGCCTCTTATCGCCTACTGCATCGATCTCTTGTTAACCTTCCCTCTTTTTTAAATTAGCTGTACCGCGACTGCCTGCGTCTAGCCAAGCACATTGGTGGCAACGTAAGTCTACTGCGCGTAATGTCAGTGTGTAGTGCCGCTAACATTCCCCTTTAATTCTGCCTGACTGCTGTGCGTAGAGCAAGAAGGGCCAAGCTATCAGGGAGCTGGTGCGACGCGAGTTCGACAAGGGCCGCAGCGAGACTGACCCGGAGAAGATTGAAGCGCTGAAGGCTAAGTACGTCGCTTTGTAGCCCCAGAACTGGAGCTGTTTCGTTGGTGGCGTTTGAAAGTTAATTGCTGATAATCTGCGCTTTGCTGCTGTATTGCGCTATGCAGTGCCGTCCGCGGACTGAGCAATTACCTGATGCTGGCCAACTCAAGCAAGGACCAGCGGCTGCAAGAAGCCATGAACAAGAAGTCACCGCCCAAGGACGGCGGACCTGAGCAGGCCGAGTACCGGGACCTGTAAGTTAGAGCGACCTCGATGTGCTTAAAGCGTTGGGGTTTCCTGTGCAGTTAGGTACCACTGGATGGATGGCTGCCGTGTCCAAAACTTAGAGGCTCCTTTGCAGATACGGGAAGACGAAAAATGTAGCCACACCCGTGATCGCATTATCAGGCTGATATTAATACCGCACTTTGCATTGAATTTTAGTACGGCACCGTGTTCTTAGTCCAAATAGGTCCGGACCATTTTCACTAATCACTTGACCACGTATCCATCACAATGAACCGCCGAGCATTAGCGCGGAAGGCTGCGGGTGCCAAGGTGACGGCGCCGAGTAGCGCTAGAACCGAGAATGCGGGCGTAGATAATGTGACGAAGAAGCTGGAGTTGCAGCTGGAGGCGGGCGATTTCTACGGCGCGTTGCAGATGTACAAGACGCTGTTCATGCGCCTTCTCAAGGGGGACGAGCCTAGTGCCGAGCAACAGAACAAGGCGGTGGTGCTGGCCCAGGAGGCAGCGCTCAAGCTCATAGAGCACGACCAGAACACAGCAGCGACTGAGATGGCCAACCTCATGGTCTCCGTCTTCTCGGACTTTCACCATGCAGTGGACGACGCACACAAGCAGCGGATCCGCCAGATCGACGCCGCCTTCCAGTCCAAGCCACAGTTCAGCGCCGATGTGGCTGTGTTCCTCAAGAATACGGTCAAATGGTCGGCAGAAGAGGGCGCACGCAAACGTGGAGACCCAGAGCTGCAGCTGCTACTGGCACGCGCGTATCGCACTGCTGGGGACTTCACGCACGCTCTGAAGCACTTTTTGCATGCCGAGAACCCGCAGGAACTGGCAGACACGCTGTTCCAGTGGTCGACCCAGGGATATCCCAGTGAATCCGACTTGTACCTCGCTCGCGCTGTGCTGCAGTAAGCATCTTGACTGTTGCAATGGAGGGACTGTGCTGTGCTAATGCTACGTTTGTGATAGACTGCTGAGTCTGGAGAACCTGCGCGACGCTAATAAAGTGTACGAGGCATACGTGGCCAAGTGTCAGAGCGTTGGGCGTCCAGTGGACCTACCGCTGTTTAACTTTACGCGATTCCTGCTCCTGACGCTGGAGGTGAGACCGCACCAAGTTGTAGCAGTTTTAAACATCGTCTGACTGATGTGGCTGTTTGTTTAATGTTGTTCGTCTTCAGCGTGATGCGCTCCCCCTTTTTCAAATGCTCCAAGAGCGTTATGCGCCCGCGCTTGCTCGTGACAGCAGTCTCAAGAACGTACGTAGCTGTTGGGAACTACATGTATTGAGATAGCACAAGCGCTAATTAATTTGTTGCACGTTGTGCTGCAGTATTTAAGCGTCATCGGTCAGAAGTTCTACGGCCTGCAGCCTCCACGATCGGGCCTCAGCTCTCTGCTAGAGATGTTTTCGGGTGGCATGTGACAGTCGTAGAATGATTCACTCGAAAGAAAAGGAGACGGATGGTATTCACCACTTCCAAGTTTACGATGAGTTGAACGTTTTATCACAGAGAATAAAGAGCGAAGCAAAGTTTTTTTTTTCGGATTCTCATTTCCTCGCCGTAGCAGGACGAAAGTAGTCACCTCCAGGCGCGCTAGCAGTGGCAGGTCTAGCCAAAGCGCGTGCCTGCTTCTCGATCTCCTCTATGCGCAGCAGCGTCGCTGACTTGATCGGCATGATCTTGGGCTTACACAACACTTCGGTCAAGTTGCCCCGTTCCGAGTACACGAGGCCAGCTTTCGGTAGAACTTCCTGGATCTGGACGCGCTGTTCAAAGCAAAATCATTCAGCTACCGCCGCCTCAGCCACATGCAGCACACAGCATCGCCACCCACCTGCATGGTAAAGAATCGATCTGTAAAAGAGAGATCTATAAATGTGACTGCTCGCTTAGCACTACATGTAGAAAAGTGAAACAAAATCTCTATTTGGGACCATTCTCGTTTTAAGCCTTGCTCTTTTTGTGCCTTTTGGTCTTGTTTGTGCTCTGCTGCTGCGACTTCCGCTTGAGGTTCTCCACCATGGCGTTCAGCGAGTGTTTGTTGGTATCGACACTGGTCGCAGTCGCATATGCCTTAATACTCTTGTCCTGCGTCGCGTCTTGGTCGTACCGTTGCCGTCGCTCCTTGAAAATAGCCTGCGTGGCCTCCGTCTTCTTGAACTTGGGGTCCGTCGGGTCCAGTTGGAACTGCGAGCCCTTGGCATACAGCGCGCCGAAACGCGGATCGGCTGCGTCGAACTCGAAGCCTTCCTGAAGTCCTCCAGCGGTCTTATGCTTGGCTAGCTTCTTCATCTCCTTGGCGCGTCGCTTGCCCTTGAGAGACTTGACCTTCTCCTTCTTAGTGATCTTCTTCATGTCAAAGTTGCGCTCGCCCTCGTCACTGTCACTGTCGCCACCGTCGCCACTATCGCCACCATTGATAGCCTCACGCAGAAGATTCGCCTCCTTGGAGCCACGACCTTTTTTCTTGAGCACTTCACGTTGCTCACGCTCCAGCTGCTTCTGTCGCGTGCGCTTCTCGTGTAATTTACGGTTCTTCTCCTGCTTCTTCTCACGTGTATAGCGCTCGAAGGGCGTCTCGTTCGCTTCCAGTTCTTTCTGTCGCTTGGCCTTCAATACGTCACTCGCTCCAGGGGTGAACGACATCTCCATCTCTCCGTCTCCTTCCTCGTCATCGCTGCTAGCTCCCAAGCCTCCCTCGGGGGCGTCATCGCTGTCGTCATCCTCCTCTGCATCGCTACCCAGCAACATCGACCTGTAGCGATTCCGCAGCTTCTTGATCGTGGCTTCATTCTTGGCCTCTTTCTTGCTGTCTGGAGCTGCTGCATCTTTCTGCTCTTCTCCCTCGCTGTCGCTATCGTTCTCAGCTTCAGAGGCATCCGACACATCAGAGGCCAGATACGCCTTGAAGTCATCGTCATGAGCGTCTTTCCAGTCTGCTGGACGCGTGAGAAGCTCCAGCCGCTGCTCGTCATCCTCCTCCCACGTGAGCTTCACATCTGTTTGCTGCAGCGCGAGTGTAGCGAAGATTGCGGGCTTGTAGCGGTCAGGGACGCTGTCACATGATTCCTTTGGTGGATTCGAGAAGGTCGTGTCGTCCGGCACATAGCGGAGATCGAGAACGTTGGACGAGGTCTCGTACTCGAGCTGGTCGCACTGGTCGAAGATCGTGCTGGCTGTCTTGACCGAGTCGCACGTCACAACGGCATAGTAATAGCGCAGTTTCTGCAGCTCGTACTTGCGCAGTTTCTCGCGGTCAAAGCCGTCGGATTCGCCTTCAATCGTCACGCTCTTCTTAACTCCGAGAGGGTCATCCGAGTCGTAGTCCTCCTCTCCTTCCGCATCGCTGTTTTCGTCATCACTAGCAGTGTTTTCAGCCTTCTCGTCCTCCTCCGTGCTGTCCTTGTCATCCTTCTCAACGGCTTCCAGTTTCTCCTCGTTCTCAGAGCTCTCTGCTTTGTTCTTGTCGTCCCAGAGACCTTGAGGTCCATGCTGCTCCTCCTCTTTCTGTATATCCCATCCCCAAGCTTCAGCACCAAATATCTCAATAAGATATAAGCGTCTAGCACTTTGCACGTACCATTTTCTGAAGACCAAAATCGGACGGATAAATCGTCACATTCTGCACTGCACCTGTGGCAGGTGCAAACGACTGACATAGAGCAAATAGATCCACAGCACGGATACGTGTCCAGTCGCAGTTGAGCACAGCGAATCGCTTGGTCTCATCTCCCATGGGGATGTCTTCTTCCTCCTCCTTGGCAACAGCTCCAACCTCTTCATCGTCACTGTCCTCTGAATTGAAATCAGAGCTGTCCGATCCGGACTCAAGCTCACCACGTGCCATGCGATTCAGGTAGTCGAGACGCGAGATCTTCTCGCTGTTCTTGGAAACGGTGGCGTCCGCGTCTTCATTGTCGTCGTCGGAGCTAGTGGTCGATGGAGCCTTGGACTTGCCTTCATCGTCGTTTTCTTCTTCCTCCTCCTCCTCCTCGTCCAAACGGTAAAACTTCTTCAATTCGTTGTCTTTTTTCTCGATACGACGTCCGTATTTGTCGTACTTGCCCTGTACGCTCTGAAATCGCTCGTCCTTGAGGGCACCTGCGAAGCGCCGGTCGATCTGCAGTTTGCTCTTGCGCTTCGAATTGCGTGCGAATCTCTGTAAATTTAGCACATTTGGTTAGCCCAATTGCATGCTCAAATACACACAACATCTAGACACTTTACCGGGTCATTGTGCACTTTCTGGAAGCGTTGGTCGCGCACGGGATCGCTCATGGTCCGGTATTGCCTGTCAATTTGAATGGGGTGCTAAATTGAATCAATGGAGCTGGAAATGTGGATCTTTTCAGCCAATGGGGGTCGCAAGATTACTTAAAAAAACTTTTGTTTATCAGTCGCCGAGTAGATCGTGAAAAATCGGCCTGTGATTGGCTAATCCGGACCCACTTATTTCCGATTGTGTAAGATCTTGCGATCGCGAGGCAGGCGGAATGCAATCCAGTGTGCCCCATGTTACATAAAGAGTGACCCGTCATTCTTGTGGACACCTGGTACACGGACCAAGGTGCTCTCGGAGCCAGTCAGTGCATGACTACTTCGCTCCACTATAGGTAACCTCCAGTTTGTATGAGACCCAAGCTTATCTTACTTATAAATACATCAGTCTTAAATCTACTCTTCTAAGTAGCAAACCGTTCCCTTTGAGGCCGGGAACACGTGGACTAATGTTCACTCGGGTAGTTAATACCATTAAGCACCTCCTCTGTGCAAGGTGCTGTGTGACCCCGTCACACTTGGTAGCACTCGTAGTCAATCCAGCACCATCGCGGGTAGATTGAACTACCTGAATCCTCTGTGCGCTAACCGTTTGAGCCAAGATGAACCGAAGCGAGTTTCCTCGCTTGAACGACTCACAGTACGAGTCTGTTCGGAAGATGGGAGGCATCTTTGGACAAGATGTCCTTCGCAGCTTGGCGGTGGCGACGCCTGTCGAGCAACAAGAACGCGTGACTGCGCTTGAGACCTACGAGCGTGGTCTCATCGCTCACGTCCGCGGGAGTTTGGAGGCCTCGATGGCCGCTCCCCAAGCAACCAGGCCTAAGCCGGTGTGGCTGAAGGTCCCCGCGTTTGAGGGGAAGGAAGGAGAGAACCTTCACTTCTGGGTCCGTGAGGTGGAGATCGCCATGAAGGCGGGTCTCATCTCGGACGAGCCAGTTCGGGTGGCGTTTGCCCTGTCCAACCTTGGTGGACGTGCCAAGCACTTGTGGTGAAGTGCTTTCTCAGAAATAAGAGAATGGGCCTGACGCGGGGTCACTATCCCGAATCAGTGACAATTTCAAGTGATTATAGAGGATTTGGGTTGTTTGGCACGGGTGCAAGTTGCCTGTGGTGGATTAGCCATGACGAGCGGCACCCCGTATGGAATGACGATGGATCTGGTATGAGCGATGTACGGGAAGGCAAGATCCACCAAGACTTATCTCGGATCCACCCTTACCTGGATTCACTTAGGTGGATATGGGATATACTATTGTGGTGTAGCGGGATCAGCAAAATCTGCGAGATTGCCAGATCCAACTTACCAACTGCGCCCAGACACCGACTAACGGAGGGGGTCCCCCGATGATCCGTGTTCTGCTGAACTTTCCTCACCTTGTGTACCCGTCGGTAGGGCGGGATCTGCTCTCTCGGTAACTTCCGAAGAGTTCAAGTGGTGAAGCTTGAGTGTCTTGGCGAGACGTGGGGATGGGGTGGAGCAGCAGTGGAAAATCTTCACTCTGCGTCCGTGGATTGTTCCGAATCCTAAGCGAATATTCGAGCTTATGGATCCGGGGCCTATATCGTGGTTCTGGCCGTAGGGTTGCCTTGCGGGTGTATTCCCTTGCCTTTGTGTTGTCCTTTAAGTCGTACTTGCCGCCTCCTGTGACGGGATCTTGAAAGTTGAGAGCCTCTAGGGTGTAACCGACCAAGTAGTAAATTCGGTTAACCTGTCGGATCTGCACGAGTAAAGGAAAAGCTCACTAGGTTGTAGGATCTGGCCAATGTATTATCCAGTTATCACTACCAACACTAGATTCGCAATTCCCAACCTTCTCGGAGCTCGTACGGCCAATGTAGTTCCGGTTCTTGAGGGCAGGAAGGCACTTGCGTGATACTGTGCAAATTGAGTTCTGTATTGATATTTAAGCCTATACCTGCCTGGGTTTCTACCTTCTATGTCTTTCATCTGCTAAATCTCTTACCAGGCTCGGCTGCATGTCCCTTCTTCCCTTGACCCATCATCCCAGCTGTGTTATCTTCAGATCCACCGGATATATGACGTAATCATCATGGTCACCCTATTATGGGTACACTCATCCGGATCCAGGTCGCTTGGATCCACCTCACTGTAATGGTACACTCGCCGTGGATCCGAGCTCTCCAATCATCCAACATCATCTCGCAACCATCTGTGATCTCCGTTGTCCCACGAAAGTTCGAGATCCACTGTATCCCTCATCCCTATACCCTGGATCCAGGTCCCTCCAGGCGGGATCCTCCCTCCTTGGATACGAACTCGGAAGTATGGGATCCGGGGTACCTCGCGGTGGATCTTGACTCTTCATTAGCCGTGGCTACTAGATCCACCGTCAGAGAGCACCGACCATCCTTCCTTCATAGGATCCACACTCGATCCACTCTTGTATAGTATATCCCATATCCATCTTAGTGAATCCAGGTAAGGGTGGATCCGAGGTAAGTCTTGGTGGATCTTGCCTTCTCGTACATCGCTCATATCAGATCCATCGTCATTCCATACGGGGTGCTGCTCGCCATGGCTAATCCACCACAGGCAACTTGCACCCGTGCAATCATGGACCGTGCAATCATGGACTCGTCCAATCATCCTGTTCGTCCAATCATGGACTCGTCCAATCATCCTGTCGTCAATCATCTGTTTGCGCATACATCCGTTTGCGCAATTGACTTACCGTAAAACATCGCGGGGGTCCTTGGGAAACCGGTTTTACTGG